TATATATTTTACAATATTTTTAAAATTTTAATTAATAATTAATAAATTTTGTTATATTTCATTTATAATATTTTTAAAAATAAATAACAAATACTAAAATAATTTTCAACTATAATTACAATCCTAGCATTACACAACAATCCCAAAACATCAAACTAGAGCTCATTATACTTTTTTTAAAAATTTTAAGTGCGATTGTATTGATGATATTAATATTTATTTTTAAGAGATAAAAAAATATAAATTTTAAATTTTACGAATCACCAAAAATATTATCACTTTTTATGTTAAAAAGAAGAGTGATCATTGGGCTACATGGGTGATTAGTGAGCCGATCGTACACTTATACTTAACAAATTATAATTACAAAAGATTACTATTTGTTTGTTTAATTTTTTATTTTATATTATATAATAAAAAATAATTCTTTTTTATTTTTCAGTTTATTTCAATTACATTTTATGTAATTTAAAATTAAAATTTTTTATTTTTAATAAAAAATTTATTATTAAATTATTTAAATTATTATCATTTATTTTTTTCAAATGAACTATAATTTAAGGTGACGAATTGATGTATCAAATTTTAATCTTAAAATTGTGTACACTTTTACAACGAGACATATAATCATTTATTTGCTTAAATTAGTCAACCCTATTTTGATTGAAATGAATATCTCAGTTTAACTATACTCGTTTTACTTATATTTATAAATATTTTATTTATATATAAACAAATCTTTACTCATAATAAGAAAGTTGTATGTTGTCTAAATAATTAAGAAGAGATTTTAAAATATATTTTAATACTATTCACATTAGTTTTTTCTGATAAGTACCTATTTGAATAAGTTAATAAAATTAAATGTAATAAACTAAATTCACTTCGTAAATTTTTTTTTTTAGCTTCCCATTGTAAATCCAATTTAGATTAGAGCATTTATATTAAAATTAAAATTTTTTAAAAATTATGCTCTTCCTTCGAACCTTGAAACGCAAATCTCTTTCAAACTACCATTGGAATGGTTTATTTTTGCTTTTTATTGATGAGAGGAATTGTGATTTTTCTTTTCTTTTTTTGAAATCAATGAAAGTAGAAAAGAAAGAAATATAGGAAACCGAAATAGTGGAGAAATGGGTCAATTTTTCATCGGCAAAAATGCATTCCCATGCTTTATTTGTCGTTTTGGGAGGCTGTATTTCGGTTTTCACAATGGTCCCACGTCGTATTATAAATTTTCTTTATTTTTTTTTATAAGGGTAATGATTAAAAAATTAATAAAATTAGCTTGGTAATAGTTAAAATTTCTCAAAATGGTAAACATTTCATCCCCTCATATGACTTGGGAACCAACCATTGAGCCTTAAGCCCGGTTGATAATTTCCTCTACTTATTTTCGGCTTAATTACCGTCTTTTCCCTTGAAAAAATTTATAAGAGATGTTTATTTAAGTTTTATGTCAACAGTTAGTATTTTGTTGATTTTAATTAAATGAATTAAATATTTTAATTAAATGAATTAAATATTTTAATTTATAAATAATAATA